AGGAGCTCTGGTGGCATAGTGCCTAAGGCATTTGAATGCTAACCAGAAGGCTGGGGAGTTAAACCTATCACCACTCCTCCGTAGGAAGATTAATCAATATACCTCCGTAGAGATACTGCCTCAGAAACCCAAGGAGGGGTCACTATGAGTTGGATCCAACTTGACAGCAATGAGTTTAGTTTTGGGGTTTTTTTTGTTTTTTTTTTTAACACACATAACAGGCAAAAGTTCCTATCTAGAATGTAAAAAGATCTTCTCAAACTAATCGGGGAAAAAACAAACCCACAGAGAAAAGGGCCAAAAATATAAATAGGGAAATCAGAGAAGAGAAAAACAAAATGGCCGATAAACATGTGAAAAGTCATTCAACCATCCTGGAAGGAAATGTCAAATATTTAGACACCAATTCATAATCCATAATCATTAGATGGGCAAAAATCAACAGTCTGACTATAGACACCAATTCATAATCATAAGATGGGCAAAAATCAACAGTCTGACTATACCAAGGGTTGGTGACGGCATAAGAAAGAGGAATCACTGCAGATAAGACTGTAAGTTGGTGCAACTCTGGGGAGTTATTTGGCAATTACCTACTAAAACTGAAGACAATCACACCCATGAGCCAGACACTGTACTTGTAGATATACTTCCTAAAGAAATTTGCACACATGCCCCCAAGAAAAATGCATAAAGATGTTTATTGTTGTCTTGTTTATAGTAGCAAAAAAAAAAAAAAAAGAAAGAAAACAATCTAAATGTTCCTCAATAGAAGAACTAAACAGTAAATTACAAACTCCCTCACAGAATACCAAAAAACTATTCAAATGAATTAAGGATATCCACATGCATCTCAACATGGGTAGGTTTCAAAACCAGTGGTGAGGAGGAAAATTCTATGCATAATTATAGGTATACCCAAAACCAAACCCACTGTGACTGAGTCAATTCTGACTCCTAGTGACCCCCATAGGATTTCCAAGGCTGTAAATCTTTACAGAAGTAGATTGTCCTATCTTCCTTCTGCGGAGCAGCTTGTAGGTTTGCATTGCTGACCTTTTGGTTAGCAGCCAAATGCCTTATCCACGGCACCACCAGAGCACCTTAATTATTAGGTATAATAGTATTTATATTTTTAAAACACATATTACTATATATTGTCCATGAAAACACATATGCAAATAAAATACAATGATATGCATGGGGATGAGAAACAACAAGTTCACAAAAGTGGTTACTTCTGGGGAGGGAGGGGAACAAAAGGGACTTAAATCTTTCAGGGAAACTATTGTTTTCACTAAATATGAAGTAAAAAATCCAAATGTTAATGTACTTTATTTCTGATTTTGGGATCCATGAGTTCTTCTGGCATTGTAACCTGTACTTTTAGACTTGAAATCATTTTTTTTCAATCAGTCTTTCTAACAATTCCAATCAGAAATTTAGAGATAAAAAAATAAAACTAGTTTAAGACAAATTTGGAGGAATCTATGAATTTTTGAAAACAGTGCTGTGTTTGTTTCCCATCATCAAAGATAATCAGAAGTTATCTGGGCATAGTAAAATCTCTACATGATAAACCACACTAAGACAAATATTACAGGAAATATATCAAGGCCAGTTCTCCAAAAATTTTTCTCTCACCTCTCGCACATGTCTTTTCAGGTGCATATATACACTCTGTCCAGTTTTTCGAAAATGTCTTTCAACATGTTCCCTTCCAAAGGCCAAAAATGTATTCATGCATACATACAGTCCACCTTCAGAATTCTAGAAGAAAGAGACAAGTTACAACATTAACCAAGAGCGCCTGGCCAAGTAATCAAGAAATAGAAAAAGGGAAGGGGAAGGAAGGCAAACGATGAAGATGAAGCCTAGCAAAAATCATGCCGTTGCTGTCACTGCAATGAACCTCCAGCAGCTCCACAGCCACCCACACCTCCCACCCAACCCTGGGTTCCAAGGGCTCCTGGGCAGCTGAGCACACACTTTACCAAACACTGGCTACACTCACATCAGGCAAGATCCTCCAAGATCCCTGGGAAATAAGCATGCTTGTCTGGCCCTCCAAAATGGAGTAAGGGAGGAGAAACGATAAAAGAGAGTTGGCAAGTGATGCAACTACCAGCAACTACCATCACTGCAATATTTCATCATCATTCTTCCCTATTCATCAGTCAAGTACCCAGGAACATAAAGTTTTACATTCTTTTATCAGGACAGGGTCCCAAAGATACTGTTACCTACCATGTTGTTATTTGCCATAGAGTTGGCCCCGACTCCTAGCGACCCCTCCTTGGGTTTCCGAGGCAGTTATCACTACAGAAGTAGGATTGCCCAACCTTCCTTCCGAGGAGTGGCTGGTGGGTTTGAACCGCCAGCCTCCTGGTTAGCAGTCAAGTGCCTTAGGCACTATGCTACCAGACCTACCATGTGGTGCCATATAATATTTGATGATAAATATTAATAAATTAGAAAACTAATTTAATAAATAAATTATGCCTTAATATGTCAATAATAAAGAATAGAGCCCTATCATAATCATATACATTACTATGTGCCTAATATCTGCCAAAAGAAGCCCTAGAGGTGCAATGATTAAGTATTTGGCTGCTAACCAAAAGGCTAGCAGTTCAAACCCACCTAACAACTCCATAAAAAAAAGCCCTGGAGGCTGCCTAAAGATTACAGCCTAGAAAACCCTACAGGGAAGTTCTACTCTGTCACATGGAGTCACCAGAATCAGAAATGACTCAAGGGCACCTAACAACAACAACACGTGTCAGGTGCTATACCTACACTATTTCTATATTATTATTTCCATTTTACAGATTTAAAAAAAAAAAAAAAACTCAAGGCTCAGTCACTTGCTCAAGTTAACAAAACTACAAGTGTCAGAGTTAGATTTGACTCAATTTCTCTTTTTGTACATTTATGTCAGTTTTCAAAGCCCAGGATAACATTTAATTAGACTTACTGCTACAATAAACACATTTTAGACACCAGACTTTCTTTTCCACTTTCATCTCTTCTTTACTTTGCTTAATGTGCTTCTCTGTAAACTTAAACACACTGCCAACAAGTTGATTCTGAGTCATAGTGACTCCTTAGGGCAGAGTAGAACTGCCCCATATGGTTTCCTAGGCTCCAAATCTTTATAGAAGCAGACTGCCTCATCTTTCTCCTGTGAAGCAGCTGGTGGGTTCAAACCACAACATTTTGGTTATCAGTCCCATGTTTAAGCACAGCACCACCAGAGCTCCTTTCTATAAACTTAGCCTATGAAATTACCCATCCTTTCTTCCATGGAAGTGGTTTTTTTAAAGCTCCTGTTATTCTAACCCCTCCAAATAAAAAACACACTTTTGCAATCCCTATCAAAATTTCAGAACAGAACAAATTACAATATCAAAACAGATACTCATGCTCATTACAAATAAATGAGCAAATAATTTTTAAAGTGTGAATTACTCAAGATTGCGTACTTTAAAAATTTCTAGTAACAAAATTTTCCAACAGTATATCTATGGTATATAAGCCAGGACATAAAAGAATCTTCTTATAATGAGAACATTTTAACGGCATCACTTCAAATGTGCCTCTTATAGTATACATATTCCAATAAGGCCAGAAAGGGAAGTAAAAAGGATAAAGATTGCAAAGGAAGAAGTAAATTGGTCTCTAGTCACCGGTGATAACATAGTTTACATGGAAAATCCTAAGGAATCTACAAACTAATAAAACTAACAACTAGTAAGTAACAAGTGAATTTTAGCAGGTCAAAGACATTAAGAGCTCTGGTAGCATAGTGCCTAGGCACTTGACTGCTAACCAGAAGGCTGGTGGTTCAAACGCACCAGCCACTCCTCAGAAGGAAGCTTGGACAACCTACTTCTGAAGTAATACTGCCTCAGAAACTTAAGGAGGGGTCGTTATGAGTCGGATCCGACTCCATGGCATTTTTTTGCATTTAGCAACAAATACTGCAAATGAAATGTTAAAAACTTGACTTAAAAAAAATATATATATAGCATCCAAAAAATAATAATATAATTACAGGTCCCTCACTTTTCAAAAGTTTGCTGTACATCACTTCACTTTTACAAAAGACCTATATTAGTACCTGTTTTCACTAACCAAAAGAAATCCAAAGAGGATTTTCTCCAAAAGTAGCATTCAGTGTTTGTTAAAGAGGCAGTGTGCACCCCTAACAG